GTACCACAATTACTTATTGACAAGCTTACTCATTTTTTTTTAAACCACCCACTCTTGTGTAAAATCTGGATAAGCTTAAAATGTTTCTTCACTACTGTATGTCCACTCACATGCAAAATAGGCTCGAAGTTTTAAAATTTATTATTGCCCTAGATCTTCTAAAATTTGGCCTTAATCATAAATATAATAAAAAGCAAAAATGAAACACATTCCTAGAAACTTACCTTTTCCATGACTTGCGAATGTATTCATTCTGTATCATGTGAATAGTTATAAAGAGCAAATTTTTTCAAAAGTTTAAAAAGTATCAGAATAAGCAATGCTGAACTATTCTTTTTTAAAAATAAGACAAAAGGAATTTCTTCTCAAGCATTATTTTATTTAAATATGTTTTCTATTTAGAAGTGCCAGGCTGGCTCAGTAGAACATGTGACTCTTGACCTCAGGGTCATGAGTTCATGCCCTACATTGGATACCAAACTTAATTAAAAAAATAAATAAAATTTAAAAATAGGAAAAAATATGTTTTCTATTTAACATTCAGATATTTTCTATTTCTCATATCTAGGACTCAACTCAGACCAATGTAAAAACAGACACCATCCCTACATGAGTCACCTTCGTGTCAGAAGGAATAAATATCAGAAGTCAGGGATGTTCTGTTCCTCATGAAAAAATCTGAAATGAAAGCATCATGGCTGTAGATGGTGACAAAAGTGCATAATATGAGAAGAAAAGGCACTGTCAGTTTTCCTTAAACTGATGGCTTTGAGATTCTGAGACAACACGGAAGGACGGGGACAGGGAGACCAGGGTACAAAGGAGAAGGTGGAGCACAGTCATTGTCACACGTGAACTATGTCATCACCAAGCATTTAAGGTAGTTTTCCTCACAGTTTGCCTCCTCTGGTATAATATGCCAATTAGACAAAGTTTTTGCTTGATGGAAAAAACCCTAAAACACGGACTTTTCTCTAAAGGTCAGGGCAGCCATTCCCTTACAACAGAGCTTAAGTGGCGGCTGGAATGTGCCTTGCACCTCCTTGCTATTTCTGTTAATTGGCTTCAGGCCTGTTCACCAAGTCAGGGTAGTGAAAATGGCAGGCTCCCAATTAGGTTAAATTTCCCTTAGGTCCCTCTACTTTCAGGCCTTAAATTCTTCCAATAATGTATTGTAAAGTTCCTGCCTCCTCTTTTGTGGAATTTATTAGTTGCAATAAACTGTAGGGATAGAAGAACAAAGTCAGCTTATGATCTATTATCTGCCAATATTAAAATATAGTTACAAAGAGTCAAGGAAATGGTAATGATTAAAAGGAATTCAGATTCTTCAAGCATAGCCAAACATCAAAACTAAGGCTTTTGTTGATTTTTTTTGTTGTTGTTCCTTGGGTCTCAGAGTCAAAATTTCAGAAGCATGAAAACTTTTTTCAAGGCAATACAACAACAACCCATTTAGTGTTGAAATCCTTTGTGCCTCTTCTGAGATTTCAGAAAAAGTAAGTCCCAAGATTCTATAAGAAAATGATGCTCTTTGAAAGATACACAGTCTGAGATACACCTTCTGAGAGGAACCTGATTCAAGTACAGGCTATTCTCAATTAGTCACTGAAAAGCAGGACTTCTGTTTCTGGAAATCATGCTAAGCTTGACTCCAGGTGCTTCCTGGTGCAGAGTTCTAATAAGACGCACACCCTACCTTTGATTATATGAGTGTAACTTACCGATATTCTAAGAGAGTGAAAGATTCAATATCCCTTTATATAGGATCAATCTCACAAAAAGAAAGACACAGCTTCCAGAGGTGCCTACTAGCTCAGCATTTTAAAACACTCCCTTGTGCTTTTCATGTCTACAGTTTATTCCCACTGGCAAAACGGACGTGGTCATAATTGCCTTCAAAAAGCAGAGATAATGAGAGATGAGCAATCTAGGAGGAAATAGAGCAAAAACAAAACCACTGAAGGCATATAAAATCTAGAACTCTGTTCACCTCTCAGTCCAGATGGCATAATTCATGGTAGATATTTCCACCCCGGTGATCCCAAACGGTAAAGGCAGGGGGTTGATTTGTGTGTTTTACCATTTATATGGTAAATATATGGTACATTCTTTTCTCTGTGTAATGCTTGTCTGTTATTATATTTTTAATGGCAAAAACTAACGAGAAAACAAGCCACAGAAGAGACATCAGGCCATTAAAGTCAGACGACTCATGTGGAACTGTTAAAAAAATAAATTCACAATTAAATGAGACTATCTGGACTAGATTTACAGTGTGTCCAGCATAACCTATTAGTCCTCTCCTGCCCACACTATTGTACTTACTTTTAAGAAAACTTTTAATATGTATTTTGTGTTGTCTTTGCTGTTCTTATCCAGTTAAAATAGATTTCAGTCTAATTAATTTTCCTGCTGATGTGAAATGGCCAAATTTAGTGAATGGATCATCATTTTTTAAATGTAAGCCAAGGAAGATGATGTTTTCAGGCTCAGGCATCAATTAGCTAATATCATTTACATTAAACTACATAGACTAAGGAAGTACTCAATTTTTAAAAAACCTGCTTATTGTGGAAAAACTGCTTCAAATAACTTCAACAGAAGAAAATCAAGCCTTGGTCTTTTGAGAAAAAAACTCTGTGGCTTCTCAGTGCAACTATTTTGCGTAAAAAGAAACTATTTTATACCAAAATTACAATGAAAAGCTATACTACTTCCTTAAAAACAGGTCTACAACCACAATGGTAAAAGTTACATTATTAGAATATAATTAAATATATCATACTTTAGAAACTCTGGACTGCCATTTTTTTCTCCTAATCCTGTAATAAAAATAGTCATATTTAGCATATTTAGCTAACTATATGTCCTTTCTTGCTTTAATGGGACCCTGACTATATTCAGTGATCAGCAACTGCGTTTCAGGAAGACAAACCACCATACCCACACCCCCAGCTCCAGATCAAGCTCACCTAGTCTAAACCAACAACTCCCTTCAATTTAGAAATAGACAAGCAATTCATACAAGGCTAGACAACAAAACATGAAAGGAATCTGTTTGGGTGGGGGGAGGGGCTTGTGGGAAAGGTGTATTTGCTTTCAAAAAGAGCCATGCAGAATAAAAAGGAACTGTTCCTCTTCTTCCATGCAAGCATGTGATGGCTGAGGCTCTACAGGAAAGGACAGACTGGAGCACACAGCCAAGGAGGCACTGTGTAGTGCTCCCAGAAAATGGAGAATCTGGATCCCCAATGAGGTTCCCCTGAATCCCCAACTGGCCTTTCCTCCAGATTTCTTATTAAATGAAAAATGAGTATCTTCTTCTTATACAATCGAGACTTTCTGTTCTTGGCAGCCAATTTTTTTCTCTAACAAGTGTATTAACACCCAGTGTTTATGGCTACCAAGCAGATATGATTCTAACCCCTTGGTAGGTTAACATCAGTGGATATAGTAGGTTCTAGGATTATACCCATTCAATAAATGAGTATACCAGGTCATTTATGGTAAATAGCTGGCAACCAGCGAGTCTGACTCCAGGCCCAGGCTAAACTATCTAATATTTACTTCAAAGAGAAAATGTAATAATGACAACAATCAGTTTAAAATCTGTTTAAGAAAAGAATGTTTTTCCTAAGTAGAGCTTCCGTGGTTTTTTAATTATTTAAAATTATTTCCATCACACAATGCTTATATTCTAATATTTACGGTATGATAAAAATCAGCACGTTTGCGATACCATCCATTGTTTCAAAGGCAAACTGGACTTTTGTACTATTTCATATTCAAACACACCCCCCCACACACAAAATTATTTTAGGAGGCTTCAAACATACACTAAGATGAATTAAGTAAAACATTTCAGATTTCTTTCCAATGTCATCATTAATCTAAATTGAAAAACAGCTATTCCAGTATCTAGGCAACAGAATTATTAACAATTTTAGAAATTACTGAAACAAAACATTCTCTGAGCACTCACCTAGTCTTCCATCTATATGAACTTTTTAGAGAAAATAAGTGACAAAGTAACGAAATAAGTATTTTTTGTTTTGTTGTTGTTATTTTTCAAGTAGCTTCCACACCTAGCACGGAGCCCAATGTGGGGCTTGAATTCGTGACCCTGAGACCAAGACCTGAGCTGATCAAGAGTCGAATGCTTAACCAACTGAGACACCCAGGCACCACAGTTAGTGTGTCCTTAACATAAAAAATTATTAAAACTACAAGGAAAACACTAGGATTTCCAAGAAAACACTATGACTAACAATAAGGAATTAAGACTTTATACAACAACACTATAAAATTTATGTTTTACACTTCAAAACTTACCGGATAAATTCTCAGTCTTCATATGAAGTGTCTTAACAGTGATTGTTTATTGCCAGGATAGGAACCAGTTATTATATTGAGTGATAAACAATTCTGATTTCAGGAACTATAGATGGCTATACTGTGGAGTAAACTGAGCAACTCTAAAACCTTACAAACCTAAAATAGTTTATTGATATTTATGAAAGGGTCAAGTCCCTGAACCTTACAAAACAATCTAAATTCTGAAATTCCACTATAGCATATTTCTCTTCTAAAGTGAAGTCAGGTAAAACAGAACATTTTAATTTGCCTCCTCAGGTCCTTTGACTTATTGCCTATCAAATAAACAGAAGAACCTATAAGTGGTCTTGAAAGTCAACTCATAAACTGTACTGTTCACTGCCAAATGTCTGTGTCTCAACAACATAACAAACTCTGAAATCAGGATACTCCAGAATCTATGGCAAATATTTGTAACCACTTATGAGAAATCTTTGACTGGGGACCACCACAGAAATAGTCTACAATTATGTTACACAAACTCTGACATACAGGCTGGAATTTAACTAAAGTTTATTAGAATAATTTACCTTTAATCATCATTGTGATGCAGGAAACATCTTTTGGAGTATGGGCCAGGAAGTTAGGTCTATGACACACATAGAAGGATTAATTTATGTTACCTGTTCTTGCTTCTCCAGCCACTTGTCCACCATTGGGTGACTGGCACTCAGAGATGACCGAGCATTGTCTCTCTGAAATTGGTGTGACCAGTTACTAGTATCCCGTGGAAGGCTTCTGTAGTTTTCATCTTTCTATTCAAAAAGAAACAAAAAGGTGTCTTGTAAAAAACCAGACCTTGCAAATTAATGATGTACTTGGGTTTTTCAAAAGTAGCAGAAAACTGATTCTGCATGTTTAAAATATTTTTTCTGAGTCTATACAAAATAGTTGACTGAGGACATTTCACTCAGATTAGACCTCATGAATATAGTCATGTGTCTAGGATGAGGGAGTCTAATGACTATAGCAGGGAAGGAAGCCACACACATATGCACACAATAAACGAAACAATAGACCTTGTACTCCCTCCCAAATCAATCTCCCCAGGCCAACCAATTACATGCACCAGAAAATGAAAAGTATTTCTCTCCAAGATTCTTATGATCTCTCAATCATGGAATTTTCCTTTTGTCTTCTTTCTACTCTTACAATAATATTGGGAGATACTATCTATAATTCACCAAAAATGTTTAAAATAAGAAAGACTAATGAATTTGCTCCTTATTTAGATCCTTGTAGTTGTGTGACTTTGGGCACAAGACTTAAGATTCTCTGGACTGTTCTGTTACCTACTTCACAAGCTAGTTGTAAGCATTAATTTAAATATAAAGAAAAAAATTTATCTCAATACAGGGTACATAATAGATACATAATAGTTTACCCTAACATGCATATGGCAAGTGAGGTCTTTACATAAAAACCTAGTTAGTTGATAAATATTTAATAGTCCCAAAGCAACCAAATGCTATTTAATTTTTGTTCTTTGAAACAATAACTTATAACAATTTGCTTTGGCTTTTGGACTGCAAAACTTAATTTCAATGTTCTAAAAAGAAATGACAAGGCGAGGATAAGTCAGAGAAGTCAAACTTTTAGTTCAACGATTAAATCTAAATATCTCCTACAAGAACAAATTTAAATCTTAACCTCACTTTGACCTACTTACAGCAGTATCCCACTTTACGAGAAGTACCAAAATATCCTCCTTAATAACTTTGCTAAGGGTAATATGGCTGTATACATTATACACATGACTGATTCTTATCCTTCAATACTTAAGCCCTATGAGCAGCGAATCCATAGAAACAAAGAAGTGTAATACAATAGGTTGGCATTGTATAGACCTTAGCCAGAGACCAAGACGGTGTTCTCTGCTCCTTCATAAATTCCATCAGAGAACAAAGCTTAAAAATGAATTGATGGTGTTGGACCTATGCCAATACTACGGCATACGAAAAATGTTTTTAAACCTATAAATATTAACCAGTATAAACTTCAGTATGAAACTTTATAAGTCTTTCTTATTAATTAACCTACAAAAAATAAACTAAAAACTTGATAGCATTGAACATTAAGGGCAACTAATTTTTACTAGAAAAACTGTACAGGTCTGGTTACAGCAGTTCAAGAAAGTGGTAATGGAGCATAGAACTGCAAGCAAACGCGCACGCGCACACACATGCACACACACACACACACACACACACACACACACACACACACACACACACAGAATGCTGCAAGATTAGGATCTTGCTCCGCCGCCAGGAATTAGGGACTCACCCTATTTACAGGAACATGGAAATAGTAAAATAAGTGGAGGACATAGACAAAATCTAAAGAAAAAAGCAACTAAAGAAACCAAAGCTCACTGTATCTCCAAATACTAAGATCTCTGCCTTAAAACTTGGGCATGATAGTTTCAGAACAAAGCAAAATTATCTGACTTACAAGAAATTCAAGTAAGTCAGAGAGGGTAAATTTACCAATGACAGAATCGTAGATGTCCGCAAAGTGAAGAAGGATTAAGAGTCTGGAGAAACACAAATAAAATTTTGATATCAAGGATCTTGGGGCTGCTATCATGGACTAAAGACCTGGCTTCTCTATTCATTTTGCACCATTAGAGATGATTATTACACCAACCCTTTACTTTGAAAATGAATAATTAAATAGAAAGCGTTAAAAATCTATTCTGCCTTTTCAATAGGAACTATATTTCGGAGAAAGCAACAGTGCCAGTCGATGAGGGGAAGCTTGTCATTTCAGAAGAATGCCAAATAATGGAAACCGAATAATGAATACAATTAGAAAAATCACCGCATTCAGCCTCTAATGAAATAAGTTATTAATCAATGGATGCTAAAACCTGTTAGGTGAAGAGTTGATAGTGAGCTGCAAGTCTGCATAGTGACAAAATACCACTTGCAAAGGGAAAAATACATCTTTAAAATGAAGAAACCGGATGATGCAAAATCCTCACTTTTTTGGTGTCCAGAAGCCTGTGTGTGACTGGGAACTTCCTTTTGATTCCTTTTGAATCTGCATCATTATTCTTCTTTACTGAAATGGCCCTTATTGACTCTACCTATGGTCTGCTCACTACTCCCTCCTTAGCCCAGCTCAAAAAGTGTCTAATTTCTAAACGTCCCTCCCGACAACTTCTAGGCATGGGTCACCAACACTAAACTTTTTCCTGAATTCATGATCTAAATTTCCAATAGACCATCCCAAAGATGCCTCCAAATCAATAGATCCAAACTGAAACTCGCTTCCTCTCTCAATTCTGGCACTCTTCTGAAAAATATTCATCATGCTCTTCACCTCTTTCAATTTGTCTCTCATCTGAAATGAGTACAGCAGCCTTGTAACTGGAGGCTGGTCCCAGCCTTAGCCTCTCCAACAATGTTCTCTACACTTTCCACAGAGGATTTTTCTAAAATGTGTGTTGCAACACATCACACACGGACAGACACTACAGGTAGACCAGAGGAACTTTCACACAATCACACTTGCTGTGCCACAGGCCTCCTCATCTTATGATCTTTCTGAACCTAGCTTCCCATAACATTTCTTCTGTGAAATTATCAGTGTTTAACACCCAATGCAACTGCTACTTTCTATAAGAAGCATTCCCTGACTCTCTCTCAATAGAACTCATAATGTCATGCTTTTTGTTACCACTACATTCTAATTTTACTTCTAATTATAGTTCTAACTTATAATTTAGTTAATTTTTAGAATTGTTATTTCCACTATTACAGTGAAACCTAAACAGAAGATCACCATTCACCTTTAAACTCAAGCACTTAGCTCAGTTGCCTGTACCAACATGGAAGGCTTTTTCTTGGATATTTGTTGTATGTCCTATTTTCACATGGTTCAGAATCCCAGACTTTTCAAACAACATGTCTACAAGTTGTTTTAGAAACTGATAAGGGCATGCTTTCAAAAGGCAGCATTTTCACTGAAATATAATAATTGTACTTTTAGGTTTACACTACAAGATATATACCACTGTTATAGGTCTATTTCAATTTAATGTCACACCTACAATATACAATATCTGTGGATAATATGATTACTTCCAATTGCATCTAAAAAGCAGTGTGACATTTCTCCTTTTACATCAATTATGACATGTAATTCATATAGCAGGCCACCACAAGGTAATCTTATTAAGGGAGATAAGGGCTAAAGATTAAAAAAAAAAAAAAATCTGTCCTTTTGAACTCCATCTGAAAATTTCCACAGTTTTATATTCATAAAATCAACTTTGAGTAGTTAATGGATAAGAAAAACAAACTTGATACTAACCTCTCATAATAAAAAAGTTTTTCTAATTCAATATTGTTATGGTAATGTCAATAATGAATTCAGACATTAATTTATAATGTATGAAAAAGTCCAGTTGAAGTAACCTTAGTCATGATCAAGAAACTGAAGAGTTTTTAAAATATATTAATCACTATGTAACGTATATTTTACTTTGTTGATAGTATCATGCAGGTACTACCAGCATTTCACACATGTTCTCCTCACAATCCAGAACTTTGGATCAGGTTCATACAAAGATTATAGTCCTACAAAGTTGTGATTCTGTATTTACAATGTGATTGCACTAGTAAACATCAAAACACACAATATAATTTCTCCTTAACGATATATGCTTGGATATTCATGATTTCCATTGAAATGTACACAGTGCATACTATTTTCAGCTTAAAAACATTTATTTCAGTGTAAATGATTTTAAAAACCTGGTAGCCTGAACTACGTCTATGCAAGATTATCTATATGCTTCATGGATCAGACTCTAGTCAGCTACAAAAAAGTCAACATTTTCAAGTTAAGTGTATTTGTAAAATCTACATTTCCCAACCTAAAGGGAAAACCAAACCAACAAAATTTTTGCCATTAATATTTTTGCAACAAGTTAGAGCTGTATTTATAAAAACTTGGAGAATGTGACTTTAAATCTATCTCATTCTATGATCAAATTAGTGCCTCAAAAAAAAAAATTAATGCCTCCATTCCATACACTGGTGAACTTCAAAGCAAAAAACAGAAATCCTTCTCTTCAGACTTACAAAAATCAATCAGTAGGACCAACATACAAAATCCTAACGATTATTAAATTTGCTAATGACAAGAAATAACCTATTATAGTAAAGCCACTACTACCTTATCTAAAAATTTTTACAAGAAAAATACCATAAGGAATTACTCTCCCTTTTAATTACAATTTTAATCCTCCACTTATGAGGCTGTCCCAAACAGCCTCTCAGCTTTGCTTTCCCTCTTGCCAGAAAAAAACAGATGTTCCTACTGTGATCAGGGATTTTCCTTATCATCTAAATGTACTGCCATATCATCAGGTGTCAAAAAGCCACCCAGGCTGAGAAATGCATATTAATTTGCTACTCCCTGGTAGCAGTACCCTGGTTATGCAGTAAATCTCTTCCAGGGCAGAGAAAGTAACTGTCCTCTCTCCCCCAGCACCCCTCCCCAAGCCAATTACAATTCAATAAAGAGAAACCACACAGAACCCACCCAATGCCTTGGGGGTAGAAGCTTATTCCTGGCATACTAAGCTCCAACTCCAAGGCTTTATCTCTCAGAAACAGCCACTTAGCTGATGGTCAGATTCCTTGGCAAGCCTACATCCCATGTTGCTGAAATATGGGAATATTTCATGAACATTATAGAAGTAACAGATATTTCTATGTTAGCAAAAGAAACCCAACTACAG